CTGTACTGCAGTGTTACAAGGAATAGTTCAAAATTAGTGCACAGCCTCCCAAAGCCACTAAGTGATTGCTTTTAAATTGTACATTTTAAAAAGCGGTCACAGTCATGAGTATAATACAAAGTGAATGTAGAGTGATTGAATTAGGTGGTGCCTATCCACACTAAACAAGAACTGCAGTTACGAGGCTCCAGGAGTAAATGTGGCTTAGAACCGGGTAGTGCACTTCGAATGATAGGATGTGATTGAGTCCCGGCATTTCTCGATCAACCTCAACAGCCATTATCTTTTCTTTTAACTGGGCCTACACTTCCCAGGCCTATCGCTCACCACCACCTCCGGCCTCCTACGACCCTTCTAGCGCCTCTCTTCCGATACCGCCGCCAGCTCTACCGTCCTACGAGCAGGCTCTCCACATGGCCACGGTACCCATGCCAACTGCTACCCTTCCACAAAGCTAGTAGCCATCTCCTTCCTCCATAGAGCTAAATTTTTCCTCTCATTATACAAAAAGTATTACTATATTGTATGAATTGATGTCAGACTTAGAATTCGTGATCAAGAATACCGAAGTAGTGTGTTTTACATCGGGGAGTAATCTATGTGTGCGGAAGTAGATTGGACTCTCTCTACAGCAGAACTTGACTCAACCTTCCACGCCACTTCTCTGGGTTGTCTTATGATCCACTCGAAATCTGCCACTTCGGTGTTAGCTAATGGAGGTGCTTAACACAAGTGGAGGATATCAAAATGAGATGTGTGGAAAGAAGTTAAGTGATCCAATTACTTCCATGCCGTAATCAAATGCTCCTGTTTACATTGGGTCATAACCCATTTCATGATGCTCTGTACCATCCTTAACCAATGGGTAAATATGTGCTTCTTCACAGCTTGCGCTACTGGATGACAATCAGGATAAATGAGCTAATTTCCAACAAGTGTAATTTCTAAATTGTGTAGAATTTTTTAGACATAGGGTTCGATATTGTACATCTTTTAGTGAACAACATGCAGAGGTGTTGAACAATAACTCGGCCTAAATTTTGGATCTCTCCGCAACAAAGAACGTGATTCTGTGACACAATGCAGATGAGTGATGTTTGAATGAGATGACCATCTTCTGTGGATGTCTGCGATCCCCGAAACGTTTCTGTAACTACTTTCCAGGAGCTTTTACGAGTCTCTTTTCCCTTAACCCTGGAAAAGTTCTTCACTTTTGATGATGTCGCTGGTTTTCTTCGGTGGATAAAAATTACGTGGATACACTTTTTACTGATGGCATCCTTCTCTTCATGGCATCTTGTATTGAAAAGCCCATAGGTGGAAGCGGTGTCTAGAAAGTGATCAGCAGTGCTTCTATCTGCAGTGTATCAAATTAGACCATTAGACTCATCTATTTGTCGTTCGTAATTTTGCCTCTATCAGGACTTTTCGTGTTTCCGTAAAATCATTTCGGCGATTCATCGGTCGTATCCCGACTGATAATCAAGAGCATGGACATCAGCGTCGGTTTCAAATCTTTTTAACGCTTCTATTTTTTCTTCTTCTTCGGGGCTATTTTATGGACTTTGGAGCACCACCGAGTTGAATGAGTGAAGCTGCTGTCCCATCAGCGTGTGGAAGGTTGGATAGTTGCTTGATTTCATCGCTAGGTATTTGAAAATACCACTTATTTTTGCCGAAACTTATTATCTGAGTCGATACGTTGTGAGAGTTGTCCGCCTCTCAAACTCCAGCAGTGATCATTGGAATCGTCTGTATGCTATAGATAGAGTAGCAAACTGAAGCAACCGTTGTGACGATTGTCTCTGACTGCTCATGTGATGATACGACTGAGCGTGTCTGATTGCATATAGCTTTGATTGGTATTTGGTCAAAACTCAGATTGTAGAACCAAACAGGACCAAGTTAATTAAGACTGGCCTTAATATTACAGCACGTCCTAACGAATGACTTGCCATGGGAGGATGCAGGAGTTTCGCTTGACCACCAGTAGCGTTCAGAGTTGTGCAATGCTCCGCTGGTTAGCCAAACTGGCACCAGAATTTCTGCAATTCCCTACTAATGTCTAAGGCGGCGTCCAACTGTGGACGAACTGGATATCTATTAAAACTGATGTCAGTATGCCTTCAGCCGTCCATTGCGTTGTTTTGGGAAAAGTTCACCACGGTGGATGCATTGCAAGCCTTCTTTGACTGATTTTGACCTTGTTTAAAGGGCTTGCTGATGTCTGCATTGATGGCCGAGGTCGGCGGTACCCATCTCCATGGCCAACATTATGTACTGGTGGCATTGTTGTTGCCTTTTGGGACAGAACTTGAAAAGGTGTCAGGCCCCACAGTATCAGCCTAGAGAAGTAACCGTCTTCTTTTGATTAACAACGGAGTATTGATAGTAAAGATGTCGTTAGATTTGGACAATATGAAGTTCCTTATCTCCCTTCATCTCTGTTAAGATCGTCACGTGGTATACTTTTGAGATTCATTAAGTCCTTTATCAAACAGAATCCATTTAAACCACTACTGGGCAATCTCCTCACAGACGTTTCAATTCTTAGGAAGGTACTTATCTAATTATAAAATCTACCACTGGGCACAGCCTAAGTTTGGTGTTGAAACATTGCTTCAAATCTCTTTAGCAGTTGAATATTGTCTTTTTTGTTAATGGTAGTGATTAATGTAAACACATTTTTTGTTTTCAACCAAGCGAATGTGAGAATGGGGTGGAAGTAGAGCAATAACAGCAAGGACAGCAACCAGAATTTGGCCTACAGCAATCAGTGTGGAGTCTTTATTATATCCTTCCTAATCTAGGATTCTGACGCAGCATTAAAAGAGGATATGTAGCATCGCTTTACACGAATTACTAAACTTGCCCTATCTCTTCAGGTGTTTAAAATTGTGATATGGGAGAAGGGAGCGGCAAAGATGTCATGAACTGGTACTTGAGTACGTAAGCACAGATCCCACCTGATATCCATCTAGACTAGTCAAAGAGATAAGGACAATATCATTGACAATAACCTCCGTACACCTAAAATGCGGTACCCTTGTGCGCTTATTCCCAGGGGCATGTCTCATGTAACGTAATCATGCCCTTTTGATTCGTCATGCCGTTCTCTTTTAAATTGGCATATTTAAAGGATCTTTCACTGAGTACTGAAAAATCAGGAGAACTCGAGGAATACACTAACTGTATAATGCTACTAAACTGTTCGAGGAAAGTAAAAATATCAAAAACTTTTACAGATCTGAAATGGAAGCATGTTTTCTGGAAGTAATGACGAGAAGCCTGTGTTATAGGTGTTGAAGTCACAAAGCAATGGATTGTGTGTCCACATATTACTTTGTAGTGCCCCGATAGTGGTTTTCCAAAGTTACAAATGCATGTTAGTTGGGGGAAAAACTGGTAACAAATAGCAGCTTCAAGGACTTTTTTTAATCTACACTTAGCAGGATGTCAAAGAGGGCAAATGAGCGGACATAATGTTGGCTATGAATTGCCACCATACAATAAAAGACGGGAAGTACAGCTTACGGCGACAAAGACGTTGTACAAACAAACAGTTGAAATAACTGCCCAATCACAGCACAACAACACGACACTTCCTCTTTTGATTTGCTACTGTCTCAGGGCTGCTTTTTCATTGGTTGCTTTAGCTAACATCGAAAGTAGCAGCCAACTTCTCTCACCCTACGACGGATTGCACAGGTAGTGAAAGCTTGTTTTCCAGTTTTACCTATAAGGATTACCTGCAAACCTTTAACATACTTTATTTTTTTCTTATCCTCTTTTCAAAAGATAGAAGTACCCGGGTTATACTGTTGGTTTTGAGATTTACAGTCCCATGGTTCCCCTTATTTCAAAGCGTATACCATACCTAAAATCTCCCTTACCGTTAAATTTAGCGTAAAAGTAGCATAAACTTTGCATATTATTTAATGACTCTTGCTACTGTCAAAAAACCTCAATGCTTCAGCGCCTAGCTAGTGATCTCCAAATTTGGTTCTACTTTCTCTTCATCTGCTTCATTGTAAAGTCAAAAGTGCCCCACATTTCCGATATATAAGTGAACGTTAATTGTTTTTTGAAGGGATTTCACGCCGAAAAAATAATATAAATTCCACAGGAAGCCTGATTTTTAGAACTCTCGAATGCCTTTTTGCGTCTTTCAATCAGTGGTGGAGTTGTTCAATTGGCAAGGCTCTGGTCTGCTTAAATCTTTGGAAGCTAGTAGTTCTCTAAACTGATCACCATTATCTAGAAAAACCATGCGTACTATGTTTGGATTAAAATGTTGATTCAGTGTTTACAAGAATAGAGCTTTCTTTTGTTGATCGAAACCATTGGTGTTGCAGTAAAAATAACAGATAGTTTAACTTCAACGTCGATCTCCTCCTAATTGAATTTGGTGTTGCGGCAACGGAACTGTAAGAAAAGTGTCATCAGGTGCCTCGGGACCCTTTTATGATCTAAAGCTACACTCTTGAAAGTCACTAATGATGCCGTTTCGAAAAACACTTCCCTGATAAATTTCCCTTCAATATAGTATTGGTTTCGCTATCAACCGTCGAATGCTCCAGTCCGCCAACCTTGATTACTTTCCACGTAACTCTGCGACAGTAGAAGGTCTTTTCACCTTTTTTTAATCTGGTTGCCATAGGCCATACATCCTATATTGCAAGCTGTTATTGCCCGTGGAGAGTTTACAGTAAATTTCGAAGCTTTGTGAAGTGGATTTACTTTCCACTGATTGTATTGGTTGCTTATTTTAATTTTCCTTTGCAATGATTCTCAAGGGTAGACATGTGCACCCATTTCATGATAATAATTTCCAAATTCCGAGTTCAAACTAATGTAAAGGTTGTTTTTCTCCAAATACCTCCTTTAAAACTAACGCGACACTTTAAAGGCGCCATGCCAAAATGTGTCAAGATTCGGCTATCCCACCTGCAAATGGAAATTGAAGTAAAACCTCTTTGCATGAATTGTAGAAGTTGCCAATGGGACAAAGTCAAAGTGTTCTTGGGGAGTGGGCTAGTGCCCATGAAATGATCTGCAAAATTCTCAGCGGCTGTTTGCTAATTTTCAGCCTCTCCTTCATCATTGCAGGAGCTGCGTTGATTTCACAAAATGCCGGCCCCTGGGATATGGACCATGAGACTTTCGAGCAGGCAACCAGTAGGCAAAGGTAAACCCCTTCTCCTCCTTCTTGCCTAATGTCTTCTCTTCTCCCTTATTGTTCAACTAGGCTATGATAGTAGGTACCAAATGATAATGAAACGAAGAAAGGTTACCGAATTAATTCTAAAGAAATAACAGTATTTCCGATTCTACTGTCCAGAATAGGTTTTTGTAGAGGATTGAATCCGTGTATATCCACCACAGAAGACCTGCATGATAGTCAGTAATAGGACTGCGAAGGAATGGTTCACAAGATTGGCTTGATATCCGGTTAAGCTGATGATCTGGCATTGACGCAGATAGACGGCTAAGAGGAGTAAGTACGGAGCTTAGTTGCATTCGAAAGGGCCTGCTCATAAGGTCCACGGGAAGTGAATTTCTTACGTCCCTTCCAATTATGATTCGCGTGTGTTCTTTGCTTCTATCTTCCACTTGTTTGTAATGCACTGTAATGGCTGAAGTGGAAGAGGGAGGGGTTAATGAGAAAAAGTGATACGGGCTCCCAGTCTCCCTTGATTCGTTCCCCTGCCTATACTATTTTCCCATTAAAAATTCTGTGTGCAGTTAATAAATCAGCCTCCCGACTCGTCAACCACAAAATCTCAAGAAATGATTCGGGCTCCAAAGAGTTTATGATACCAGAAGAGCTTTGCCTGGATTAACTGACAATGTAGAAGTAAATTTGATTCTCTATGCTACTCACCAATCAATCCTATTTTGTAGCAAGAATTTGGACCGAATTCGTGTAAAAAATGAGTCTTTCATGTGCCTTTTCCTTAGTCGTTATGGAGGTGGGATTGCCCTAGTCATGTTGGGCGTGTTTTTCCTGTTCGGTGGAGTGACATCGTTCTGCTGTTCTTTCCAACTCAAATTTTTCCGAAAAGCCGTGGAGCCCCGTGACTACAATCGTCCCATCAATGAGCAGCAGCCTGTAGGTCTCCTTTTAATTTGGCTTGGATGGTGATGAATGTTTAACAAGTTGTATATCTTTTAGTACCCCAACTACTCCAGTCAGTCGCAGCCGTATCCGCCGATGCCTCCGGTTCCAGCTCAACCACCTCCATACTCGGAGTAATTTGCTCGGCTTTACTTTGCTCACTCAAAACTACTCTACCAGTAGCCAGTTTATTTGCATCTTCATCAACCTGTTTTTTTACGAAAGCAATTACTAGGCTTCGAATGCTGTTCTTCCCGACGACTTTAAGCTGCTCCGGTGTTAGACATGTGCACTAGAATAACAATTTTATAAAACATATGATTTTGATAAAAATATTAACATAGAAATAAGTAAGAACATGAGATCTAGGCAATACTGAGGGGCCCTAAATGTTTGGGACTCCCTTCACAATGGATCGGTCTGAGTGCGTCAGTGGAGCGGAATCCCAGGCATAGCGATCCGTGCAACTTGTTGACGGTGATCGTACCTGGGATCATTGTGATTTCCGCTGCTCACTTGATTCTTCAGCTTCATATTGCACCTTACTACTAGTGGTGGAGGGAAATAGTATTGGATATAAGCTGTCACATCTGATGTCGGGCAAAAAATGTACAAATTGGTCTAATTAATATGTCATTTTGGAAACTCGTTTTTAAGCGGAATAGATTTGAGTGTTTATGACCTAAATTGAATCCAGACTAATATGACTACAAAAATCCCCTTACATAAGTAAATTCCAGTAAAACAATACTGCAGGGACCTGAGACTTCCCTGAAAGTGAAAAAAATGGCAATACCCGGGCAAAATATGTATTGTCGTCACACAGAAAGGATTGGCGCTACTGACGTGGCCCGAAGGTCAGGCCGTCCGGTGGAGGTACAATAACAGAGCTTTGAGTAACCTTTTACCAAAACGAAAAATTTAAGCAATTAATCTATCACACACCCAATGCAACTATGATGGAGAATGAGAAATACGAAACAATAGCCCGACGGCAAGCATGCCTTTTCAATGAACGAAAAATGTACTGCTTTGATAGTTTGCTTAACTGTGCAATTGATAATCCGGGCACTTAGTCCGCCCTAAACTGCACTTCCGCGGGGCAACATGGCCTTCGGACCACGCCCTAAGCCTCTCAGGCACTCTGTTCGGTATCAATGTTTGCTACCACACCACTCTGACTTCCTGCGACTTCAAGAAAGACACCAGGAGCTACAGAAAATGGCTTTGCAACAAAAGAAATTAGGTGATCAATAGCTTGGTTAAAAAGCCTTTTTAATTAATAGAAAGAGAAGTTCTTCCTAATATATTCTGATTTTACTAGGTGATATTGGTATGACGCTATTTTATTAGTGCATAGTGCTCAAAGCCTTTGCTGAAGCTGGATTAAACCGCTGTAACGTGGCAAAACATATATTGCCAACACACAGAAGAGTTTGGGAGGCCACCAGCCATGGCCTGAAGGCCATACCAGCGAGAGCAAGTAGAGCTTGAGTAGCCTTAAGCGCTTACGTAGTTTAACTTACAAGTAAAATATTAAAACCCCACATCAGCATAGACCTGCTAACCTCAGTAGCATGTAAATAAAGTAAACAAATTCGGCTTCTGCTTCTATCAACTACCGGCTTTAAACTCTAACCGATGGGCTTGGTTATTTGATGGCGAAGGGCATTGTTGAGTGGCTTGCCTATAAGCGTAGGTAGTTTCCTGAGGAATCTAGATTTATAGATGCTTTGAGGTTTGACGTTTTAACCTCGCCACTAGGTCATTTAACCTCTGCCATCTGTTACCTGAAAGTCGATTCAAACAGACATTAGTACAAAAATACCAACCCAAGCTCAACAATGACAATATCTCTCCTAGTGTGTTGTTCATAAACAGGTCCGTTTTGTTTATCTTTATTTAAGTAGGTTTTGTATTAACCTCCCCCATCGTCTTTAGTGCTTGGACCCTTTCACCAAACCTAAAGCAATTATTTTTTATGATGTCTCTACTCATGAAGCAATCGTAATACACGTTTGCATTGTTTTAATATTATGTTTGTGCTAAAAAAGGCAATTTGATTACGAGCATTCGTTGTTTGAATTGGGCCAAGGAGTGTTCCGAATAATCAAACGCTGGCTTTGTGGCGGCTGCCTATAAGTAGTGAGATGCAGATCGAGCCCAGTTTTGACTCAAAAAACCCATTAGGTGGTAGAATCAGTAAAATAATCGGTTTTACTGCACAAGCCGACGAAGTACCTTCAAGCTTTTTTCTAAATCGTAGAGCTTCTTTGAAAGTCTCCAGGTTTTGTCAGAGTCGTATACTTGCAATGATGCACGTTCGCGCCGAAATCTGCGTAGTGTCATAGAAAAGTCGCGGCTGGATCTCGCAGAAGGTTTTCTCCGAGAAATGTCTGCTATAAAAACAGTAGTTGTTCAATTTCTTCATGTATAGGGTCTTGATTCTCTATCGGCTGAACTCAATACAATGTCAAATACCTGTCTAAGAATCAACGAACGCCTGATGGTGATATCAATAATAAGGATTATTTTTAGTCTTCAAAATCCCGGATGGAGGAATTGATAAATCAAACCAACGTGAATCAAGCAAAAAGGTGCACTTATGTTTATTCTGATCTTATTTTCTAGGAACTCGGTTACTCTCACTCATCTTGCAGCGAATGCCATTTTGGGTGCATTTTATATTTCTCAAGAGGACTGGGCTCTTCTTGACGAACAAACTGATGATAAAAGTTCCGAAAATCTATTAACTAAGCTTCAGAGAGCAAGGGGTATACGTCAGCTCATCATCAATACATTGGGTGTTCCAAATCTACCTCTTTTGTATGTCAACCTTTTACTAATTTCGTCAGAAAGGATTTACTAGACTCATCGACTACATACATTGACGAAGCCTTTGAGCGTTTATATCAGTGGATTAAGAGTGTGTTTACTTCTTTTTTTTTCTCATAACTGTAGGGGAGGTGAGTGCTCAGAACTTCGAAGCGGTAGAAATCTCGGTGCCTTTTCGGAAGTGTCTGCGTGAACTACAAGAGCGGCCAATTTTCTTCAAGTAGACTAATCCCTTTCTCTCCTCTCATTTTTACGTCTAACATCATCAGGTATATCCTGGATGAGTACGCGAATGCTCGACGTCAGTTGATTGTGGAGACCTTTCTCCATGCTTTGACGGTGGGATGGAACAGTGGGGGCAATGTTACGTCCGTTTTCTTGAGCAAGCCCATCGAAATGCAGTCTCATGATCCCACACGCTATGCCGGGGATATGCTCGCTTGGTTACATCAGGCTGTGGCCTCTGAAAAAGAGTATCTTTGTTCGCTCACTTCGGAAAAAGGTATGCTATTTCCGAGGCAACACTTCTGCCCCTCATGGCATGGGTTAATATACAGTATTTGTCGTATTGATGTACAGGTTATATCCATTGGAACACCGAATATTTTTGGAGCCCGAGCTGTCTGCAAAGATGTTAAGACAGCTATTTTGAAACTAAATTATAACAGAAGGACTGGGGAGCTAGTCGCCTAGAGTATGAGAAGAGCTTCACGATGCCAACATAATAGCTGAATCTTGGGAGGTTCAAAGACATGTGTTTTAACTGTAAAATTAAAAATATTGTCATCTTGTTTCAATCCTGTTGCCTTTTCTCAGATTTCGTACTCAACGCCCCCCGTAATCATTCTTCTGCCCCAACCATCAAAAATAGAGGTTGTACAGTAATTTCCTGCCAGTGCAGTGATACTACCGATTTCGAACATTAATACTTGTCATGTCCTCTACGAGTCACGTTTTGGCGTTTTATTAGCTGCGTTCTCCAATCTTGGACCATATTTTGCAGCAAGGTGTTCTCTGTGTAAATGAAGGCTGACCTAAAATCAAAGGCAATACTCACACTCTAGAGCGGCCCATTGGATTTGTGTTCTGCGCTCTTTCTGTTGTGTTGTCTTTGGATTGCTGCAGACCAACTATCCAACTTCTTGCAAATGTGGGGAGGCGTCGAGTTTTCATGTTTTACTGCAAGTGAGCATTTTGGGGATGCCTTAAGTTCGTTCTGACGGTTGCTTCATTGTCGATCGCTGCGCAGAGTTAGAAATTGGGATTGTCGATTTCGACAACCCGTCTCTTTTGTACATTTTCACAAACTCAACCATCCACAGCAAATCCCTTCTGTAGTTTTCGGTGTAGTATTCGATCATCAGAATCGACTTGTTGTTCCTTTGGAATGTTTTCGTCAACGTTTTCATCATTGTGTTTACCGAGTTATTCCTTAAGTGAACTAGTCAAAAACAAATTTATCACTGACGTAAAGAGGGGCAGATAGACTAGTAGTACCCCTGCTAAGCCAGTGTGGTAGTGGAATCACAGATCGGAAAGGCTTATTTAGTTAAATGCGTAACCAATAAAATCGTGTTTTCCTTTGCGGCTTTTCAAAAAAGTTTTTTTTCCCCATACTTACAAAAGCCTTCAGGAATGCTTTGTTCATTTTTCAGCTGACAAGGAGATTGTTTGCGACTGCTTGAGTAACATAACTGGTGGGTTGGCCCACCCTTTGCAGTTGCGCTTGGAGCAGATTTTGGTCACCGAGCACGATGCCGTTCTCCTTTACCAAATCAACAACCTGTTACAGTTCTACGCAAATGTTATTCTGTGCGTTTTCATTCCCTGCCACTTACCCTCCTAGTGATAACCTCAGTGGAAACTCCACTTTTTCTTTCAGGAATTTGTTAGATGAGAGAGCAACTCTCTATACCACACTTTCGGAACTGCAATCCCTCAGTTGGAACCTTTTTGTTAGTGCGCTGCAGCGTCAAACCTCCGACCTGCTCGCTGATGTAAGCACATCTCCCTCATACTAGTTAGCATGCATACATGTATGCAGTGTGCGTAGCCAACCCACTTAACCGATAGGTAAGCCGATTTAACTATCCTATTCGTCTTGCTCACTACGATGCGGATGTACGCGACCTTACTATTAGCAGCTATTGGTGAAGTATTGCTATCCCTAAAGGAACCTTCACTAAAGTCAATTCCAGCCCCAACCACTTTGCAGTTGTTCAGTTGTCTCCCTCCTGTGTTAGGAATCCTATCCCAATAGTCTATGGTTTTGGTAGGGAATAACTGCAGATCAATCCGTGCTTTTGGAACATAGATAATGGTACGTCTAAATAGCAAATAAGGGCAGTTAAAGACTACACTCCCGAGTGCACAATCCAAGTTGGCTTATGGGTTAGCTAAGTAAACAAATCAGCTTCATTGCTACACCCTCTTTTTCTCTACATAGAGCGAACCACCGCGTCACGATTTGACGCCATCTATGTCAACCATTGACGTCACACGTCTGCTTGAAGCCATTCTGGCCACGCAGGACATGTCTTGCGCTCCTCCTGATGTTCGTCAGACCAAATGTGAAGAGGTGAGTCAAGTGATTCTGGTGCATTACATCCAGTAAGCAAACTATGTATTCTCATTTTCGAAGTGTTATCTTCCAGGTAGTGGCCGTGGTGGTGAAGCCACTGTTGGAGCACTATGAGTTGACGGCCAGGGCTCTCATCAGCCCCCAGGAGATAAGAAAGGTGGAATTGGAGGCGGCGGAGGGGGACAGAGAGTTGCCCCCTGTGGCGCTGGTGTACCTCCTCAACAGTCTGCATTCACTGCAAGGGACGTTGGCCCGCCTCGCTTTCACTGGCCCTCAAATTGCCACAGTGGTAGAGCGTCTTGAAGCAGCGCTCACCGACTTGACACACTCTCAAGCCGCATACATTCTCTCCCGCGCAGGCCTCTATCGCCTATATGAGGCTCTCAATGCTCCACAGGAGAGCGAGGGGGAGGAGGTGCCGCTCGCTCAAAGGGGAGCACCTGGTTGCTCCCAGGACGAGATCATCGACGCTTTGGTAACTAAATAACCTAAATATTTTCAGGGAATCACTCTACTATCTAGTTTTCAATACAGACATTTATTCACTTGGAAATGAATGCAAACCACGTTGTTCGCTACATTTCGTCCGTGGTCAAGGGGATACTTCTAATGCTAGAAACATTTACGGGTAGCAAAAGAAGCTTACTGCCCTCCGGACAGGTTCTCTGTCGTAGATGAAATCGCCCACAACTTTTTTCCTCGTCCTTCTTCCTAGCGAGAATTCAACACGGAGTACCTCTCGGGTCCAGACGCTTGGGGATTACCCGAGGCTGCTCAAATAGCCTTTTCGCGCCCCCGCAACGCCCTTCGACGTCGCACCGCCGACCTCGTGCAATCTCTCTACACCCGTCTCTATGAGGCCATAACTGATTCCAAATCGGGCTATTCTAACCCTTGGCCCGAAGATCTCAAAACGCCTGAACAAGTCGCTGGACTGCTGCTTCCCTCCTCCTCCGCCGCTATTTCTTGACTTATCTACTTTGGGACTATGATTATTGCCAACAAAATGATACGAAACCTATCACGTCTCTTTTTTAAGGGTAATAGATTAGATACCGTAGAGAATACTCGCCAAACAAACTGGAGATCTTGGTTTTGGACTGAATAAACAAGGACTTAGCTGTGTACGTACAAGTATAGGAGGAGAGAGATTAGTAATGAGCGCGCATAGAGTGGTAGCACAAGATACTAGGATGGGTCCAGTGGATCGTCGCATTTCCAGGACTCCTCGACAACTTCGCGAACTTTCATTTCGTAAACCCTAGTATTTTCCTCAAATAATTCTGCAGCTATGGTGTTAGCCGGCGAATTTGGGTTGGGGTCACCAAGGAGAGATTGAATAGATGTTAGTATGGAGCCGATGTCGTAGGAAGGAGACCACATATTTTGTAGAATGTCTAGACAGATCGCACCATCAGCGTAAACGTTGGGGTGGAACATTTTGGAAACGAATTTGACCGTAGGAGGCAAGTTTGGATAGTTTTCAGTGAAATCCATTACGAGTTTGAAAATGCCGTCGGCGAAGGGTGTGCCATCAGCACCCAAAATGACAGCATGCCAGCGAAGAATGTTATCATCCTGAGGCACTGCATATACACCTGGTGGTGGGTCCTGCTTAATTTTCCGAAAGTCATTCATTAAGCGCCGCCTTGCTCTCGTAGACATCACAAAATCCGACTCGACAAAAAACGAGCAGCGAACTGCCCTCGAACCCACCGCTTAACAATCAAACGAAAGTGATTCGTTAAAACGTTTTAAGAATTTACTTCTAAAAGTGTAGTTAAGTTTTGCAATCTTAATGATCACTTAAGTTAGTAGTTATTAAATCTGTACGTTTATAAATGTGCCCATGTGGTGTCCATGGTTGATAATTCTTGCGTTTAAGAATATGCAACCGAAGTCCCTAATAGTAACGTAAATTTCATGCTTCTAGCCTACTTTTAGCTTTATATATGTTAAACTTTCGCATTTTGTTGGATTTTGGTTGCATTTAATTTGCGGTAGGGTGGAATTTGCCTCACTTTTCTGGCTACCTAGGCAGATCCCTGCCATGTTATAGTGCCTGGGGGTCCTGCCCATACCATTGTAGCTTCTCTGTACGCTAATACCAAACTACTCCTTTACCCCTGTATGCGTTATGACGTCTTTGGAGCCCCTGGTTGGGTTGTATGCTAACTTTAGACGGATGGAAGTCACTGCATTGTAAAATGCTATTTCTGGAAGCCCTGAGCGATTTATTTCTATCACATTGCACCCTAAAAATGTAAGTTGTGGTCATTTCATTGGCAAGGTTTTTAGGTTTTGTATCGTTGACTTTTCAAGCCTTCCCCAAAGAGTACGTTTATTGACCCTTTTATCTAGTTAATTAGCACTTATTAGTGCTTAGCACTTATAGCCACTTAGTACTCATTGCACTTATAGCGCTCTCTCCCTCTCTCGTCTCGTTACTAACCTCATTTTGGGATTAAATCCACTCATCGAGGCTACTCTGATGTGGATTTTAGGGCAACTCGAACCCGTAAGTCTGTTCATTTTATTCTGCAGTATAAATCTATGTAATGCCTGTTCATTTGTCTTAAATTTTATAGGTCTTTACGAATTGTATCAGCTATAGCTTTTAGAAGGACGTCTACGAAGAGACTAATGAGAATGCAGTCTTATAGAGCGTTTTACATAATCTTGTATTGCTTTCCATAAATTTTCATCTTTAACAAAAGGTATGAGATCATTTGCCAAATTTGAAGGAAACTAAGTCCAATTTTTGCAGTTATCCTAGCTTTTCTCCGACAGCACTTTGTACTCTGCCTTGCACTTGATGGAAACTGAACTTAGATGCCTGATAAGCCGGCGTATTTTACGCCAAGTTACCTAATCTTTTAGGTCAAAATCATGCTTTCGGATGATACAAATAATTAAATGCCGAAATTTTTTAATGTATTCAGGCCAACGGGCAGGCAGTCGGTACCAACACGTGTTCGGTCGGTAATGCAAAGGCGTCATTTGAATAAATTTTCACCGCTAAGCCGTGAGTCTCGCCTTATGGTTTGGTGGATTATTCACTTTTGCCAAGATGATGCTCTCTGCTCACAAAAACATCACTGCGTCCATTCTGCTTTGTCCCTGGCGCTTTGTCAATTGTTGTGGCTGTTTCTCTGCTTTCTCTCCCCTCTATGACCTTAATTATTGCCTTTTCTCTAGATGACAATCATCAGCTCTCCTTATTTTAAAATTATGTAGTGTCTCTGAGTATCCTTGGATGATACGAAGGATGACGTTAAGTTCTCAACTTCTGTCTCTAATGCACGCTAATATAAACGACACCTAAGTCAGTTAAAGCGTAGTGCGTTACGGTCATTAGAATAACTCCGTTATGACACAATCAATTAAGGTAGCCGTGGTTACCTAGGTAGCAAAGTCCTAACTGTCAGTAGTAGTCTAAATGTGTCTGAGCTCAAACAATGAGTTTGAGAGTGTTAAGTTTGTAGATAAAGAGAACAATCCATGGAGGAAGGTAAACCAAAGAGGCATCCTTCTATTGAATAAGTCAGTGTGAAGCCTTTTCGAGATATCTTACCCCCAGGTTTTCTTCGCTTATCCACTATCATATCTGTAGCGTGTAAAACTTGCTCAAGACAACTAAATAGTTATAGACTTGCCAGCTTAAACTTTAAGCTGTGCATCTAAATTGCTTAAAATATTTTGCTACTTGACTTTTGCAGGCAAGACCACAAACAGCAGCCCACGCACGGCCTACTCTTAAATGTTCACAAGTGTTGGCGTTACAATCAGTTTTTCACCTTGATTCTGCAATGCATCTCGTCTTTAATTACAATTTTGATTATTTATGTAAATAAACTGCTTCTAGCAAATAATGTTTCCTGTGTGTACTCTAGAATTGTATTCTTGCTGGCAAGTGTTAACGAGGAGTGGTTTAAAAATAGCAGCACACAAATTAAAGAAAATCTGTCAAAATGTATTTTAGTACAAGTCTATAGGGCGGCCTTAAGTCATTCCTCCCTTGCTTTCCCATTGTAGCGCTGCGAATTTGCCCTAAAGACAAAAGAATTTATAATCCTAGGACATGAAATGTTTCGCCGACGTAGAGAAGGTCCAGGGGAGAAGGCTACTTGGTATAGTCTACAGGTCAGGCTGCCCAGCGGAACTATAAAGGCAAAACTCTATGTGTTCTCGAAACCAAAACAACGAGTCGAACAAACAAGAGTATCACACAGCTCTCTCTCCTCTTTTGAGTGTCGACGCCGGAGCTCCCCTTGAAAGATCTTCCGCGTCAGCCACTACAACGTTGTTGGTGCTGTAAGAAAGTCATTTACGAACCAAATTAGTCATCGAATAAGCGTGTAACAGAGATAGTATTTGACGGCAACATCACTGATCCCTCTTAACATTTGCACTGAATTTGGACTTTTCGCCTGTTTGGGAATTGTATTGGAGGAATGGTGAATGTGCTAACCATCACGCGTTTCCATCGCCGGTCGTAGGAACGCCAGCCTAAAAGCAGCCATTTAATAAAGGATGGGGGTTAGCATAGCTGTTTGAGGGTATAGTATGGCGTCTGTTCCTCCTTGCCAGTTTTATTTTTCTTACTCTAGTGCTACCCAGCCATATACCCATCTGGGTTCTATTCAGCTTGCAAAGAGGAGGATGGGGTATCGCGTGCTCACTGAATTGACGTCTTCAAGCAGGTACGTAGGCAGCTTTGCAACAAACTTTTTAGGTGGTTCACATACAGAAAAGCTAGAAAGGTTGCTGGCATAGTCAGGAGGCCATGCCGCCCAGTAGAAGTATAGTGGTGAGACCTTTAGTGAACACGAAGCCAAACGAGGGAATATAATAGCTGCTTACAGATCCCTTAGCTGTTTTCACTAAGTTCTCAACCAAAATATTACAAAGTGAAAATTGAGCTTCTCCCCTCCTTTCTTTAATATTAATGTTCAGTAATCGGAACATCTGTAATGCATAGCACTTCCCTAGTGGTTCATTTTTCCTGAAGGCCCCAAATGGTATACAAGTTGAGCTCTGGCTCTACCATGAGCGCACAGGTGGAGTAGAAAGTTGACGCCGTAGCATGTCTTAAGATGAATTCCGCTCCAGCGTCGTGGAGACGGAATCGTCGTAGGATGGAAATGCCTAAGGAATGTAATGCATTATCAGAATCAAAATCCCTTCACTATACACCAATAATGATTCCAAAATCTACTTGTTAAAAGTAGGAAAGAGGTAATGAAGTACAGGTGTAGGCATACTGATGATATCTCGTAACTTTTTAACATTAAGGTAGGCGTCTAAGTAAAGCCGAGCCTTTTAATAATACAAGTGGAACAGAGGATGCTGTCTCGATGACACAACATGCATGTGTAAGTGTCAACCAGGTCCTCAAGGTAGATTCTGTTACAAGTACTAGTGGCCTATGCACGTGCAATGTATGGGCCAGTCTGGTCTAGCCCAGACAGTTTTCATCAAGATGGCAGGTGATGGTACCACTGAGTGTGGGCATGTACCACCTTGTAGTGGATGCTAAAGAACCCGGAGATACCTAACCGTATCCACAGCGGACTTCAAGCACAATATGGGAGGGTGGTAGTAAGGTGATGGCGCATTCATCCGTAGTGACGAAATTGTAATGAAACACTTGAGTGGTGTGTCCCAAAGAGGGCCATGGGTATATCCATCAGTTAAGATTATGCCCATTGAGGAAGCGATGCAAGCTCTTCTCAGATAGTTTAGCCGTGCTAGTAAATCCTTCCCAGTCAGGAAGGGGTTAGAGTGGTTTTAGATTTAGCGGGGTTCAACATGAAGAAATAAAAGGAATTTACACAGCTGCAAAGAAGTAATGGAGCTGATACTTCAAAAATTTTCTCCTCCACTCAAACGCTTGTAGTAAACTAAGCATGATTGTGGTCAAATTTTTTTCATTTGGGGGTTTTGGAGCGAACCGATAAAGGACAGGAGGGTTTACCTACAAGAATGGAAACAGGAAAAGTCTTATTTGTAACAGGCTAAAGAACTGGGATTAATCTCCCAAGTGGTAAAATGGTTTAAATTTCAGCGTCAAAGAGGAGTTGAATTTGTTTTGCTTTACTCCATTCCACCCCACCCCTTTCCCACACCTGGGGTGCAGTGCATTTGCGGTTGGCTGGGAGGTGGATGGTGCAGGTCGCTTCCAGCCTTATGCAACCAACTCTGCGGAGGCGTGAGAAGAAGGGAGGGAGGAGGGTAGGTGTGGGGAGAGATAACGGCACGAAACTCGCATGGGAACGGACTAGCAAGGGAGGATATCTTCAACCAATCGGAAGTTTTAATTCACTCCGTCCTGGGAACGGCAATCTGGCTAAATGCCGTGGGGTGTGAGTTTAATTAGTCTCACTTAAATCGGGATAGGGGAGGGGGTGGGCAGGGGTCGAGGACAGGGGATGGGGGGGAATGCACAGGCGCTCACCTACCAACCAAATGCTCGGTCTGTGAATAAACTGTTAGTGGCACTGGTGGAAAAAATTCTACTGTTTATTTTTTTTGTCTGGGGAAAGCAACCAGTGAATAAAGCGAATGCGAAGACAGCGTTTTAATAGTAGAATAAATTCCTGAAGAATTTGCATGAAAATGTAGCTAATGTTGGGATATAAAGCACAGAACTTCAAACAAAAACCCACCAGTACCAAGCAGAAAAAAAACTCCCTTTATCTCAAAAATTTGGAGGAGACTCAGCAAAAATATGCTGACATTCATGCAGCAGAAAATAATTAATAACTTGATATAGAAAGATCACTTAGTACAGGAATAGTTAAAAAGCGTTTTAGGCGAATTGGTAGTATCGTTATAGAGAATAAGTTCGTGCAGATTTTGTGA